TAAGCCTTACCCCCTATGGTGTCCTCAAAGGAAAAATTTGGGGCACATGTCTATAGCATCCTCACACTCACCAGAAATGCGTCATTTCTGAATGTGTAGAAACCATTCCACCCAAATTTAAAATTGCTTAAACCCACCAATATGTAAACTGGCATACTGTACATAGCTGAATTCACCAGAAATGAAAGGATTAGGAATATCATTTCAGACTGTGACCTGTTTTTTTTTTAATTCTCAACCTAAACTTACCATCATTTTATCACATTTTGTTTAATAGAAAAGCAATAAAAACAGCAATGTCACTCCAAGTAATGTATAAATAGAGCAAAGTTCAACATATATTAAATGGCAAATTCATTATTCACATAAGAATGCCCTCCTATTGACAGGCATGGCAAGCAACAGATCATGTAAAGTCGTATAGAATAAGCAACCTCCAAATGTAACTATCTTGATCTGCAAATATTGACCTATATGAGTTTAACTAACATAGTATTGCACACCCATGCTTGGTCTTAGTAAAACTTTAATGGAAGAAACTTTCTTTACATGGCAAATGTACTAGTGAATAGACAAGCACATTCACAAAACACTTTGGGCTTCAAATAGGCACCTAACAGGGTAAGCAACAGAACCTAAAGGTGATGATTACAACCCTACTCTTTCTTCTCAAAAGAGAAGTATTAAAAAGAGGAAGTAATGTATTTATGATGTAGCAAATTTACTCATTGCTTAGTTACATAACACGTTATTTTCCTATCTACTCCAATAAAATCCATGGCCTCTGTGAAAATTTTCAGATTTTTATCCACTTGTCTTAATCAGCAATTGAAACAAGGCAGAATTGTTTATGTTGAACTCAGTGACCTTGTATAATTGTGATTGTCTCCTTTCACAGTTTATTATCCTTGTACTCTTTCCTCTCTTTGTTTGAATCATTGGTAATATCCAAATAATCCAAAAATCAAAAGTGTCTGGATGGCTATCAGTAAAAATAAAATGGTATAGAAATGACTAACACCTTTAGTGGGGAATATGTGTTAATATATGTTGAAATATTGGGATTCTGTGCACTAGGATCTCAACTTTAACAAAGCCTTAGGAACAATAAAGTACAAAAATGAGATGAATGCAGCAGAATTCACAGTGTATAAAGATCCTTGTTTCTTTCCTGCTTAAGCCTGCATGGCCAATTCTTTAAAAAAAAAAGCTTATGTTTTCTTGTCAAGTGTTATGTACATAGATGGCGTCATTTATAAATTAAAATCCCGAAAGTCTCTTTTAAGTTGAAATCAACTACACATTCATATGTGGAGCTTTTTTGGCAGCACTGTAGCAATAATTATTATATTTTAACATATTCCATTAAATAGGCTAGACTGGGAAGTCAAACAACTTCCTGGAAAATGATCACTTTTGCATTCAGTGCCAAGAAAACTGTATGGATATCTCTATGTAATTACCAGGAAATGAAGTCAATTTAAGGGCATCTTTATCATCACCCGTACAACTTTTATTGCAGGTATTCAGGATTGAATCAGGGTCATTGTACAGGTAAGTTTCATTGCTCTGTCACAGAGCTTTCTTCAAGTAATACTGTATACAAATACAGTAACAGGTAGGAAGGCTTCCTCCTCCAATGTAATTGACAGGTGAAAATTTTGATTTATGCTGCAATTTAATCCATGTTTTTTTTAGTAATGCACTTGCTGCATTGGGAAGAACTTATGTTTAAATCAGTGTAATTCGTATGAATATCAGAACCTTAGACTTATCAATGCCATTCCTTAATTCTGCTTGTTTACATTCTGTAACATTTACACAGATATGAAATGGTCCTTCATTGGGACTATGATTGTAGATGACTGAAGAGAATGGTATAGCTTTTTCTGTTCTAAGCTGTGCCATAAACTTAATGATCAGAGCTGCAGCTCTTTTGAAATCTTTGTTATGTTGACAAATTATAATGGTAGAATGATCTTTGAAATAGTTTTCTCTGTATCATTAGGTGAACATGAACTTTGTACAAATGTAGACTGGAAGAGAAGGACATCTGAGGTTACTGCTGATTTTCTCTTTTGAACATAAACTACTAGAAGCCACTGTTCATCTCCTTACTGCTCTGCAGGACTCAGGCCATAACTTACATGTCTGAACAAAGCCGCTGGCAGGAGAAGAAAAGGGCATCCAGCATTCCAGCAAACTGCTTTCTCCTCAAACCAAGAAAATAGTTTCTGGCACTAACTAGGTTGTAGATCTTATTATAGTGTTTGGCGCCACAAAAAAAGATACTTTTGCACGATCTGCTATAAAAATACTCAATGTTCTTCTTGTAAAAAAAAACCAGAAGTCTAAGTTAATATCCCAATTTAGTGTGTCTACCATCTATCTCCATAAAGGAAAGGAAAGATGGCATCGAGTAGCACAGTGTTTGTCCATGATAATTTATTTATATAGATGTAAATTCTTATCGTAATGTGGATTCTAGTGACCTGTCCCCCAAAAGTGCTTTTCAAAGGCAACTGGACTATCTTGGGTTTTTTTTTTCCTTGAAAACATTTTTGTTCTCATCTAAGAAGCTTCTTCCGTTCTGGCTGAATGGTGGGGAATGGAAGGATTTATATTCCTTAGCATTCTGAAGGTCAGCTGTTATCTTTCTGAGAGTCCTTAAGGCCACTTGGGGTTTATCTATACCCTCAGTGTCACCTGAACTGGAATGCAAATGAGTGTGGAACCTTCTTGGAACTGTTGAAACTGTGTTGAAGACAGGTGGTGTTGTATCCCTCCCACTCTGTTGAGAGAAGGCTGTTCAATTTTAATATAAATGGCCTCTTTCCAATTGAGGACCTCTAAAATCTGGTCAAAAAGGCCATCAATATTAAAATTGAACAGTCTTCTCTCAACAGAGTGGGAGGGATACAACACCACCTATCTCCTGTCTATGATACAATCCTTTCAGCAGTCCCCAAAAGGCTCCACACCCATTTGCACTCCAATATAGGTGACCCTGAGGGTTAGGGTTAGGATTAGGGCCCCATGTGGCCTTAAGGACTTTCAGAGTGTTAAAGACCAACATTGAGAGTGCTAATGACCAGATGACTGCTAAGGAATGATTCCCCATCATTCAGCCAGAACTGAAAAAGTTTCTTGGATGAGAAACGAAATGTTTTCAAAGAAAAAAGAAACAAGGAAGTCCAATTGCCTTTTGAAAAGCACCTTTGGGACAACTGTGACCTGGATGATTGAGAATCTCCATAGACATATAGTGTGCTTTTGTTACAGATACTAACAGTGGAGTATCTAGCTTCCCCTTCTCCCCCTTTTTCCTCTAAGGTTACTTTTTCTTTGAAACTGCTTAAACATTACTTAAAATAGGGGGCAGCTTAAATATAGGTCTACTTCCCATAAATGAAAATCCTTGGCCACCCTCTTCTAATAAAGGGATATTTTTAGTTGTAAGTAAAGCTTACAGCTAAGGAAGTACTCTCAGAATGATGAATGTCTTCTACTCAGTAGTTTTTGAGAACTTATCATCAACAGCTTTCAGGCACCAGGTTAGGGAACTTGTACACATCAGTGACAGAAAAGCCATTCAGTTTCCATCTTCTGGAATTGTTCTTCCTCTTCCACAGTAGTTTTCTTTTTCAAATTTCTTTTGTTATTTAAAATGTGGTTGAGGTCAGTTTTAGCCTTTCACTGAGCTGTCCTTATTCTTGAAATGTGCAAGAGCTTAGACTCAAGGCTCCACACACATTTGCACTACTCAGGTGACCCTGAGGACACAGGTAAACTTCTAATGGCCGCAAGGACTCTCTAAAAGAATGCAAATGACCAGCTGTCTACAAGGAGTATAAATCCTTCCATTCCCCACCATCCAGTCAGAGCTGAAGAAGCTTTTTGGATGAGAAGTGAAACATAGTAAAGAAAAAAAAAAACCCAAGAAAGTCCAATTGCCTGCTGAAAAAGCATTTTTGGGTTATAGCCCTTTAGAAATATGGACTACACCTAAATCAAACAAATAATATTTTCTTTCATATTGAGAACTGGACCCTTGAGGAAGATGCAGAACGGGAAGACTCTGGATTGAAGAGGCTATTTTAAACGAACATTTAAATACCGTATTTAGAAAAACACTGGACAAATAGTATTTCAAGTTGCAGGTTCAGAAAGGATGCGGTTAGGGAATGAAATGTGTAATTTAGGGATAGCAGATAACAATAGTAAAGAAGTTAAGAGGGGAGAAGATTGTGGAGGAGAGGGGTCAAAGAGCAACACTTGTGGTTACAGAAATAAGAAATACACCCATGTTTGTCAGCTTCCTCCTTTCTTCCGCCTTAACGGTCTGTTTTGAAGAGTTTGGGGAAGGTAAATTCTGAGAGCAAAACACTGGCAAAAAACACAGGGCCAAGATTTCTTTTCTTTGCACTCTCGGTGTTAATGTTTAAAGCCCATAATGGCACACGCAGAAGTTTCTCATTTATTAATCCAGGATTACAGCAAAATATCTCTGAAAGAAATCAAACCAAAAACCTCAAAGGTCCTCTCCTTGCCTTGATGAAAAGTGCAAGCACCACTTAGCGGATGTTGCAGAAAAAAAAAAAAAAAAAGCAAACTGAATTTAATCGGTTGATAAGGTCTGGTGAGAGAGAAAAGAGGACCGGGAGAACCCCAGAGGAAAAACATTCCTTGCTTAAACTCTCTGCCTTTCCAGTGAATGCACACAGGAGCCGGGATTAGGAATCCTTGCTAAAACTCAACAGTTGCAGGCCAGCCACTCGCGCTCCTTTCGGGAGGGCCGCGTGCCGCGCCGAAAACTCTTTCCACCCCGCCCCCAGCCACGAGGTGCTTTCCAGCCCGGCTGCCTCTGGGAGAGCGCGCAGCGTTGAGTCAAAGCCGTTTGGAGCCTGCATGAAATATTAGTGGCAATTGTGCTTACTCATAAGTAGTAGCCTTTTATCTCCTCCTCCTCCACCTCTTTTTTTTTTTTTTAAATGCTGTACCACTTGTGTTCCAACAGGGGTGTGACTTCGGATTCTGTTCCCCTCCCTGTTTAGGTCACTCATTATTTCAGTAGCGTTTCGAATTGAAGTAGAAGACGCCGGCTTTCTGGAGAGATTTAATTGTGTAGGCTGCGAGAGGAAAGTCCGTCTTTGGGTACAAGATCTGGAAGCGAGAGCAATGGCCAAATTCTGGTTGTGTGCAGCCGTTGGATTTTACATGTTGCAGCAGATTTGCGCAGCCCGAATGGGTAAGTGACGGGTGAATGGAAATCTATCGGGAACTGAGCTGGTTAGAGTAAAATGCTTTATTAGGATAAGAAGAATTCTCCTGCTTGCCAGTGCCTTGAGTCATTAACACTGTTTAATCCCAGTGGGGTTTTACTGTTTTTTCTCTCCAAGGATGGTTTCTCCATGTGCGTTTTTTCCCCCCTTTGGAGAGCTGTGGCGGTTGTTGGGCGCGCGTGGAGAGGCGTCCGAAAAGTTAGTCTTGAAAGAGGGGAACACTGATCGGTAAAGTGAACGGTAGAGTTTGACACAAGTTTTTGCACATCTTGTGCACATTCGGCAGTGGCAAAGACACTTATTTATTTATTACTTATTTATTTATTTATTACTTTAATTTATACCCCGCCCTTCTCCCGAGGGACTCAGGGCGGCTTACAGGTAAATAAAAACAGAGCTATACAATAAATATTTAAAAGCCAAATTAAAATATATATTAATTAACCTGTGGATTATGGATTATGGATTCACTTCCCCCTCCCTTCATTGTGTAAAGCAGATGGAAGAGGGAGAAGAAGAAATTGAGAGAGAGAGAGCGAGCGCAAACCCTCCTGACTTGGACTTGGGTCTCTGTATGATGGGAAGCCAATTGTTCACATAGGAAATGCAGAAACCTCCTCCATAATGAAAAGTGAACTGTGTTCGTTTGCTTTCGGACGAGATTGCTGCGAACTGGAAGCAAATTTTAAGCTCATTTGGCAGGAAAGGAGTAGGTTTTTTTTCAACTTCATCCTCCTCTCTACCCCTCCCCCCGCCCTTTCTAGTCTTTCTGTGAATACTAAAATGAAACGCATGTTTGGGAATGAAAGTGGTTTGTGTGTTTTTTAAAAAATCACATGCCCTAAATGTCAAAATGCTCTTAAAGTTTGATATGATACAGAGCCATAAATAGTTGCAGAGAAATAACTGTGCCTTTAACAGAGACTCATTGTTAATAGTAATTGCCCTGAGCTGTTTTGAAGGGAATTATTATCCTTTCACCCTTATTTCTTCTCCCTTTACTCAGCACCCCATATCTGTTGCTGGGGGCTGACAAAACACTTATAACAGCTGTGGCCTCCTCAGTACCTTTATATTAGTTTCACATAAAGAAATGAATTAGAGAATAGTTGCTGGAGGATTTGTAAATGGGTGTGTCAAACTGCACATTTCTCAATAAATTTTGGAATCACCAAGATAAAATATCCAAGAAAGTGTGCACAAGTATTTCTTTAATGATTGCTATGAGTTTAATTAAAATAAAATCGAGGCGTTGAGTATGTCCTTTTAAGGCAGTAGGAGGTGATCCTTATCCGTGTGAGATAAATTTTACAATACATGTAACTTGCATGTGCACAAGTAAATAACATAATATTTCCAGTTTACTATCCTTCTCAACTAATACCTTATTTTATGAACTGCCAAATCTTTAATCAATAAGGACAGCTTGCTATTGGTCTTCGTGCAACCTTTTGTAACAAAGATGGAAGGGCAGCCCCAGTCCCCTGTATACTCCATTCCTTGGTAAGGTTAAGGGGGAAAAAGAGGTTTCATGTACATCTTAAGTAAAACTTTATATAACATTTTAAGATGGTAGGCAGAGCAGTACATTACAGGCCAGTTTTGTGGGCGGAAATAGCTGTGCAACTATGGATTCTTCCTTCCCTATGTTCTGAGATGGAAATAGGCAATAGAATTCCTTCACTGGGAAATAAGACTGAATAAAGTATAGTATCATGCTTTGTGATGCACATGTTCATTGACTACTGAATAGTTTTGTAGGTTTCAAAGTCCTACAAAACTTTATATTCAGAACCCAAAGTAGTACCAGAAATTCATGTATAAGAAATGAAAGGTATGCCTCTCCCAAGCCACTTTCAGCCTAGTGGGAAGTAAGTAAAAGGATTTTCCAGAGGATAGATGACATATTTCTAGCATTTATATTGCTTCACTAATAGGCACATTACTGGTTTTTTAAATTTTAATCCCAATATTGTTTGTTATGGGCCAATAAAACTTCGCTATGAATTCCTTCTTACCCAGAAAGCTTTACTAAGCAGCCTTGGGCACATTACTTTCTTTAAATTTAATCTAGGCTATAGGAGGCTATTGTAGAATCACCACCCCTATGTTTACATGAGTTATCCTAAAATGATTGGATTATGATGTGACAATCATAATTTAAAAAGCTATATAAATTTATATCATCAGATCAGAATTTTAGAAATATGTGAAGATGCCAGTGATTGCAAAGTTCTTGCCCTGTCGTAGAGGATAATAGTTATATGATGTAGGTAATGTACAATTTTCAGAAAGTCTGTCTAGTAAAATATAGCTTATCCATGTGGATCAGTTTTCCAGTTCCCTATTCTCAGTATTTATTGGAATATAATGTGTTTCATTCATCTGATGAATTCAGGTCCAGGTATGATGGTGAATCTCCAACACTTACTCATTTAAGATCTTTTCTGATAAGCTTTTTAAGTTGACAGTTGTGTTGAAGTTGCCTCAGCTACTGTGAATGTAGTCATCCTGATAGGGTATGGGCGTAACATGTTTCTTAGCTTCTTTTTTTCATTTTCATTTTATTTCTGTATGAAGTTATTTCCTTTAACGTTTGATGTGTTTGAGCCAGAACTCAACAAAACTTAATTTCACATTTTCCTTTAGATTCTTAATGTGTAATTACTTGATCCAATTTGTACTATTAGTTTATAACTTAAGTTCTTTCACAGCGTGGGACAGGGTGTCTAAGGGACTGCATGTATATAAAAGGACTACCAAGCTGTTATTCTGAGACATTTCTGTGGATTAACCCATTAGGTGATAGAGATAGATAGCAAAAGGCAAAAAAGACCTTGGTAGTTGTGCACTTACAAAGCACCTTCTCCAAAGCAATTCCTCTCATGCATATCTCCTGTCATTTTATACCAGAAGATCTACTTTTATTCCTCATTCAATGTGTAGTCAGTTTTTTGTTCTCTGATTGTTTTTCTGTTTCTATTATATGATTTTTGGACCAGCTTTAACATATTATTTGTATTTTGATCTTATTTTTATGCCTTGTCCCATAGAAATTTGATCGTAACTTGGAGAAGAAAAAACACTCAATACCCTCTAGTACAGGGGTAGGCAACCTCGGCTCTTTTATGACTCATGGACTTCAACTCCCAGAATTCCTGAGTCAGCTATGCTGACTCAGGAATTCTGGGAGTTGAAGTCCATGAGTCATAAAAGAGCCGAGGTTGCCTACGCCTGCTCTAGTATCTTAGAAAGGAAAATACTGACCAGCAAAGAGGTCAGTCTCTCCAGTCAGCTTGACCTTCAGAAGCTTTACTCTAAAATTAAGAGATACTTAATTTTGCACATTTGTATATACTGTAGTTGAATTTCTATGATTATACTGTAGTTGTATTTCTATGATTATACTGTAGTTGTATTTCTATGATAGGTAAAGTTGAAATCCTTTTTCAGATGAAATTAGAGGTCTTGACAGGTAAAAGAGGGTGAGAACATCCAGTCCAATTTGTGCTCAGTGAAGAATCTTCAGCATCTTCTACAGAGGTTTGAAGATAGTTTACTTAAAGGCTTCTAGCAAAATAGAATTTGTCAATTTCCATGGTATTTTATTCAATTACATTTCACAAATTTAGGAATTTTTTTGTAATGTTTAACCAGAGTTTACTTCCTGCAGTTTCTACCTAGTGTTTTGAGTTTTGTTTTAGGAACAATAGAACAGTTCTGTTGCATCTTTTTCATGTCACGTTTTTAGTTATATAAATAGAATTATTGGCCTTCTTCTGGCATTCATCTGGTTGCATTAAGGCTTGAAACAGATTTGACCTCCAAGTGTTTTAAAGCAGACTTTAAAACCTACAAGCAGATGTGAGCACACAACCTTTCTTCAGACTTCAGGACTGAATGTAGGCAGTCTGCAGAGCTGCCTTCATGGCACCATTTTACAAGCCCTCACGTGTTCAGGCTATAATCCAGCAGGCTAAATTTACTGGCTTTTTCAAGTGTTTCCGTTAGAACTTGTTATCCATCCCCCACACCTTCCTGGTTGCTTTTCTGTGATGTGTTTCAGTATGTTTAATATTCTTAAAACATGTTGCCTGGACTGAGCTTTTTATTTTTAAAAAATAAGTGCGAAAGTATACTTAAATGCAATATTTTTCATTTTATTTCAGCTGAATATTGCTTTGGTTTTGGCCTACTTTCTCAGAATCCTCAGAAATTTATTATAACTCAAATCTAAAGAAAGTGTGAGACCATTATAGGAGTCTCTGTGGGTTCAGAAAAGGAAAGGAAGATGTGATAAATGTTTCTGAAGCAGAGTCGAGAAATATGAGAAAAGCATGGGTAGCAAACGAAGAAAGGAATAAAGAGCCTCAGAGAGCAATGTAACAGATGAGCTGGGTTATTCATGAATGATCATAAACAAAAAAAGTGTAATACACAATAAATTTGAACAAGAAAAAATGGAAAAGACGGAATAACAAAATAAAATGTATCATCACTGCACTTTATCAGTAAAATACACAGCATACACAAGAATAGAAATCCAGATCAGATACAGGTAGTCCACGAGTTACGAATGTAATAGAACCTGCCCATTCATTCGTAACTCGAAAACTCGTAGGAGTGAATCTCATATGGAACAAGATCACTCCCTGCTCGTTAAAACGCACACGGCTCGTTAAGTGAACATGAGGTATCTCGGTGGGGAAGGCCATGGAGTGCTTAGTGATGGAACAGGCCCCCAAGGCCTCCTTGACCCACTAAGATACCTCATGCTTTCCCTTCCTGCCGCATTGGACTCACCTTGAAAAGATCCATCTTCTCTCTGCCACGGTTCCTGCTGCTACCTGGATCTGAGGCTGGGGGATGCTTCCACGTGCCTCCGGAGGCTGGATTTGGGCATTGGAGACCTTTTCCAGGCCGCTGCTGCTTGGATCTGAGGTCGGGGGGACGCTTCTGCGTGCCT